CATCTTAAAGTTGCTGAGGTTTAGGAACCCTGGGTTAATGGATGGAGTCCAGAGCGTGCCGAGCCTGTTAGATCTTAGAGGAAAGGCAGTCCTACAAATACCGGAGCTTTATTCCATGAAGGGCTCTATAGATGGCCATCTGCACCTTGAATTGCAACTGCACCTTGCACCTTAAAAGTAGAAGAACTAAATCATGGAAGAAAAATAAGTCAGCCCAGACATGATCATGCCAACGGTATGTCAGGTACCAGAAAACACCTGTCAAGAAGAGATGTTCTTTCCCCAGGGGGCTCAAAATCATCCACTATCAGACTCAACTGCAAAATATTTCTTAATATTTTATAGTATTTCCACCCATGTCACCAAGGTATCACAAAATTCAGCACTGATCCCAAAGTTCCTTACCTTGAGTAAACAAAATGTTTCAGGAACTCTCATGATGGAAGCATGCATACGTTCAGTTGCAGTTCTGAAAAAGCAACATGGGCATTTCAAATGACCTTTGCAAGTCCCACTCCATGAATTCAGTGCATAGAGACCCAGCCATAGCAATTAGTAACTGAATTTGTATAAAGGTCACACTTGCACAGAACCTATCTTTCCCCTGAGAAATGTGGATTTCAATTTCCAGAACTGACAGTGCTGGGAAGTTCTGGGAACTGAAGGCTATACTGTAACTGGAAAGTGCCTGTATTAAGGAAAGCTGCAATAAATCATTGGGATACTAATATAAAAAATGGTCTTAGTTATTTAAAATAATAGGCAACAGCATCAAGATGAATTAGAATGTGCCTTTCTTAAACTGAACTTGCTTAATTGCCAAAAAAAGACTAACCATAACCACAATCCTAATATGATTATATTCCAAAATGTATACATTTAATGGACCCTCAAAAGCATTAAAATGCAATCACCTTTACAGTATTTCCATTCATTGTTTTGGGTCCCAGTGATACACTTGGGGGGGGGGGGACTGGGTAGCTGCAGTTTAGTGCTTTGTTGAAATGGTGCCTGTCAATCCAGAAAAAAAAAAGATAAGTTGGGAATAAGGAGCATTCTGGGGACTAAAAAAGATGACTGGAAGAATCCTCATTAGTTTGTCTTCTGTTAAAGTTGTGTCAGTGAAAACCTACCTTGAATAAATCCTGTTATCTTTCAGTGTGTCTCATTGAATGCCAGTGCTTCAAAACAATACCTTTGACACAAGAGGCCACATGTCCCACCTGCTTCTTTTATCTAATGAAGCAACCACCTCTTCATTAATTCACTTCTCTGATGCCTTCTCAACTCTAAATATAATTACCTGGGAAAACATCTGCCTCAGCTGTATGCTAATGTCTATACCAGTGTTTCTCAATCTTGGCAACTTGAAGATGTGTGAACTTCAACTCCCAGAATTCCCCAGCCAGCAAGGCTGGCTGGGGAATTCTGAGAGTTGAAGTCCCATACATCTTCAAGCTGCCAAGATTGAGAAACACTGGTCTATACTGACAGTTCATATGTTTTAATTTTAGAACTGGCTAAATCAGTGTTTTTTTCAAACTTGGCAACTTTAAGATCTGTGGACTTCAACTCCCAGCTGACTGGGGAATTCTGAGAAGTGAAGTCCACACATCTTAAAGTTGCCATGTTTGAAAAACACTGGTCCAAATGATAAACTTTTTTTTCAAATATTAGATGATTTACTGTGTAAATGCGCACATCTAATTTGTAAGTCAGAGCATACAGAAATAACATCTGTTAAAGATCTGTATAATTCATAAACAATGGTCAGCTATATCTATGTAATCAAAATATTAGACAATCTGGGGAGCCTCAATAAGCCTTGTAGTGCACAGAAATTTAAAAAATTGTACATAGCTGAAATCATAACTGTTGCATTATTCAGAAGATTTACTTTCATGAGTCAAAGCAGTGACCCAACGCAGAGCATGCATGAGAGTGATAGAAAGCTGCACCTCCTTTACACACTCAAATTTGCCTTGGAATTGTCAGTAATATCCCTGTTTGCCAACCTGAGCTTTACTGAGTAATGTGAAGAGCAAATCTAATTTTTATGAGTTATGTGCATTAAATGTACATGCTTTCTCTAAATTTACATCATATTGCCCTTTTAAGCCTTTCATAATTTAGTCTGCTCTTCATAGTCTTCTTGGGGACAAAATACAAAATATTGAAGGTGGTCATCACTACAGGTGGTATTTAGCAGCCCCTCTGATTTCTAAGGTTTCACTAAGCACTGGCCACACACTTTTAGATATAGCTAAAGATATCTGAGATATAGACTCAGTTTCTCAAATCTGGTGCCATCTACATAAATGACTATGGACACAGCCAGCAAGACCACTTGATGCCCAGGGAAGAAAATACTGAAACCACAGCCCTGAAAACCTTCAGTAGACCCCGCACAAGAGCCCTCCCAAAAATTATCACCCAACTGCAATTTTTAATTGATTGATTATGAGCCATCAAGTCGGTGTTGACTGTTAGCAACCACATAGATCCTGGTTTTCTCCAGGATGAAATTTTTAAACATGAAGGGCTAAATGATTAGGTAGAGAGAAAGTAAGTATACTGGCTATATTGAACTATAGTACTGTAATCCAATGTTTTTCAAACTTGGCATCTTTAAGATGTGTGGACTTCAACTCCCAGAATTCCTACCCAGCATCAGCAATTTTTTCAATCAGAGCCACCTCAACTTCAACCCAATCTGGAATCAGTAGCAGCACTGAAGAAACGTGGGCTGGCTTTGTGCCACACATTAAACTCAAATGTGCTTGGCTAGTTTGTGGTTGTGTAACCCAGATGCTTTGGCTAAATCACTAACCCACGGTTTAGTGTCTTGTCTACTGCAGTGTTTCTCAACCTTAGCAACTCCAGAATGGGAGTTGAAGTGCACACATCTTGAAGTTGCCAACTTTGAAAAACACTAAACTAATCCAATCAAATTTAAATGAAAGTGTGAGAAAAATGAATCTTTGGGTGAAAAAGACAAGTTTCTAGAGGCCTCAGATGAATG